ATAAAAGCATGGAAAAAGATATTTCATACAAATAGTAACCAAAAGAGGGCAGGGGTGGTTGTGTTAATATTAGACAGAATAGACTTCAAGTCAACAACTGTTAGAAGAGAAGAAAGGCATTATCTGATGGTAAAAAGTGGATTCACCAAGGAGGTTTAACAATTATATACATAAATTCAACAAACAGTAGAGCCCCAAAGTGTATGAAGCAAACATTGACAGAATTGAAGGGAAAAACAGCTCTGCAATAATAGTGGGAGACTTCAATAGCCGACTTTCATAATGGGTAAAACATTCAGACAGAAGTCAGTAAGTAATGAGAGGATTTGAACAACACTATAACAGAGATATATAGAATTTTCCTTCCAACAACAGCAGAATGCATATTTTTCTCAAGTACACAATGAACACTCCAGGATACATCATGTGTTAGGCCCCAAAACAAGTTTTTAAATACATTTTAAAAGATTGAAATCATTCATTTTTTTCCAATGACAATACAGTGAAACTAGAAATCAACAGCAGAAGAAAAATTGAAAAATTCACAAATATGTGGAAGTTAAACAACACATGCTTAACGAAAGGGTTGAAGAATAATTCACAAGGGACGTTAGAAAATAGCTTGAAGTAAATGAAAACACACCAAAACTTACAGGACGCAGCAAAAGTAATGCTAAGAGGGAAATTTATAGCTGTAAATGCTTACATTAGAAAAGAAGAAAGGTCTAAATCAACAATTAACTTTTCACCTTAAGGAACTAGGAAAAGGAAAACCCCGCAGAGCTAGCCAGAGGAAGGAAACAACAAATATTAGAACAGAGATAAGTAAAACAAAGAATAGAAAAACAACAGAGGCAATCAGTGAAACCAAGAGTTGGTTCTTTGAAAAGATGAAGAAAATGATAGATAAATGTTTAGCTAGATTGACTAAGAGAAAAGAAAGAAGACTCAAATAATTAACATCAAAAAAAAGAGGGGACATTGCTTCTGATTTTACAGAAATAGGAGTATAAGAGAGTACTGTGAACATTTGCATACCAACAAATTGAATAGTCTACATGAAATGGATGAATTGCTAGAAATTTACATCTAGGAAGAATGTCATGAAGATGTAGAAAACCTGAATATAACTATAACTATTTAAAGAAATTGAATCAGTAATCAAAAACCTCTGAACAAAGTAAAGCCCAGGACCTTAAGACTTTACTGGTGAATTCTACCAAGCATTTAAAGAATCGGCACCAATCCAGCCGAGCATGGTGGCTCATGCCTGTAATCCCAGCATTTGAGGAGGCTGAGGCGGGCAGATCACGAGTTCAGGAGATCGAGACCATCCTAGCCAACACAGTGAAACCCCGTCTCTACTAAAAATACAAAAAGCAGCTGGGCATGGTGGCACATGCCTGTAATCCCAGCTACTCGGGAGACTGAGGCAGGAGAATAACTTGAACCAGGGAGTCGGAGGTTGCAGTGAGCCAAGATTGAGCCATTGCACTCCAGCCTGGCAACAGAGTGAGACTCCGTCTCAAAAAAAAAAAAAAAAAAAAAAGAATTTGCATCAGTCCTTCTCAAACACTTCCAAAAAACTGAAGAGGAAGAAACACATTCCAATTAATTCTCTAAAGCCAGCATTACTCCAATACCAAAATCAAAGACTGCAAGAAAGAAAACTACAGACCAATAATCCTTATGAATGTTAATGCAAAAATACTCCGTAAAATGCTAGCAAACTGAATTCAGCAGCATATTGAAAGGATGATACACAAAGTAGGATTTATTCCTGGAATTCAGAAATAGTTCAACATCGTTCAAAAATCAGTGTAATACGCCACAGTAATGAATGAAGGAATAAAGAAACACAGTCATTTCATTGATGCGGAAAAGTATTTGACAAAATTCAACATCTTTTTAAAGATGACAAAAACAACACATTAAAAATAAAAGGAAACAAGCCAGGCACGGTGGCTTGCGCCTCTTGAGGTCAGGAGTTCAAGGCCCGCCTGGCCAACATGATGAAACCCCATCTCTACAAAAAAATATAAAAATTAGCCAGGCATGGTGGTGCGCTCCTGTAGTCCCAGCTGCTTGCTTGGGTGGCCAAGGCACGAGAATCACTTAAGCCTGGAAAATGGAGGTTGCAGTGAGCTGAGATTGCAACACTGCACTCCAGCCTGGGCGACAGAGTGACTCCATCTCAATTAAAAAAAAAAAAAAAGGAAACTACTTCAACGTAAGGTCATTTATGGAAAACCCAGAGCTAACATCATCCTCAGTGGTGTCATGATTGAATTGTTTTTCCGCTAATATCAGCTACAAAGAATGGATTTTTTTTTTGCTAGTTTTTGCTAGAAAAGGACAAAGATTGTATGATTTCATGTTGTACCTGGAGTCATCAAATTCACAGAGACAGAAAAGAGAATGGTAGTTGCTAGTAGCTGGGGGACTGGGGAATGGGGAGTTCCTGTTGAATGAGTACAGAGGTTCAGTTTGGCAAGTGTCGGTAGCTATACAGGTGTTATAGTTGCATTGCAGTGTGGATATACCTAATGCCACTTAACTGTACACTTAAAATTGCTTAAAATGATTTTTGTTATGTATATTTTGCCACCATAAGAGGAAATCAAGAGGGAAAAACTTGCTGTTTAGAAATAACAATGAAATTACTGTGGATCAATATTTAAATTCTGATGCTAATTTCAATTTTTAAATTCATTTATTAAAAAAGACGGAAAGTAAAAGAATAATTTAGAAAGCTAGAAAAGGAACAAAGTAAAGACAATAGAATTATACGTGTTATTACATTATTAAGATAAAAACGAACATAATATAAATATTAACTAATTGAAAAGAGTAAAATAGGGACACTTGAAAAGTCTAATCTGAGGGAAAAAGGCAAATACATAGAAACGCTTAAGAAGCAGAAAGGCCGTCTAACCAATAGCAATGTTTATAATAATACTTTATGTGCAATTTTATTCAAATACATTTGGAAAAATAAAGACAAAGGAATAATGGCTACACTTACTGAGTGTTTATGGTAAGGTAGGAACTGTCATTCTTGGTGCTTTCCATGGATTATCTCATTTAATACTCAGAATATCCTTTGGGATGGGCATTGTTATACCCATTTTACTTATGAGAAAGCTAAGGCACAGTGCACTTTAGGTAACTTGCTCAGGGTCACAACCAGTAAGTAGCAGGGTCAGGATCTGAATCCATACGGTCTTACTGCAAAGCTAACACTTTTTATCAACCTCTCTCCACAGACAGCTGTCAAGGAAATTGGTCAAAGTGAAAACCACAGAAAAATCTCCCTCTGCCCCTTTTTTTGGTCTTATGACATTTGTTGTATTTTGTACTTTTTCATTAGGTCATCGAGACATATTAATTATCCCAGTATTCTTCAAAGCACAGTGTACTGTGCTTCGGTATTCACTGAAAGTTAGTTCACAATAAAACTGAATAACTAGTATTCCTTTTCCTCTCCCTCTCCTTCCACTGACTCTGACAGCAGGAACTAAGAACAGAAATAAAGCTAATGACCTACCTATTGTATAACAGTTCCTCAACACTTGTCTCCACATGGTGAGAGACTCATCACTTACAAATCCTTGCTTTATGGATCAAGAAATGATGAAGCTTAGGCGCACAGTAACACGTGTCTAAGATTTTTGTCTGTAAAGATTGTAGGATATGCATCCTAATGGAATCTCTCCCATTCACCAAACAACTGGCTTAAGCATACATCCGAAGAACATTTTCTTAGATCCATTTCTGATTTTCTTTAGAACCCAAACGCATTGTAGGAGAGAAAGGGATGCTGAGCCCCTCTCCTCTGCCTCCAGGTTACAGAATGGAAGTGAGAATGCAGTACCTTACCCCTGGCGGTGCTGTGTCGCAGGATCCACCATTTCCTGCTGGAGATGTAAGATTTGCACGATCCAGAGATGTCCTCTAGTAAAAGTCCTTTGTGAGGAGGGGTGGGTAAAGGAGGCAGAGAGAACATCAAATATAACATATGGCCAACCTTACAAGTTCAAAGATAAATTTCCCCCGAATTGTGACGTTTTCAAGCATATAGGCAGTGTGGCCTTGCTCCGGTTCCCCTCAGCAACTGTAACAGGCATTGGGTGCTCATACAGAGCATCGTATAAAGCCTCCATATGAGAGAAGCTGTGGGGAATAGACCCACAGTTAAACCACTGTGATGAATCAGTTTAGAATTTTAATTAGCACTAATTAAAACCATCTATGGGCTGTATGGAAACACCTTGGATGCCGGTCAACTGAGTGATTCAGTCAGATCTACTGAACTGAAATCTCTACGGATGAGGACTGCAAACCAGCACTTCCATAGACTTTCCAGTTGATTAACTACTTTTTGCTAAGTTGTGGGGTTTTTTTTACTTTTTAATAGTTTTAATAAAGTATAATTGACATGCAATAAACTGTATATACTTAAAGTATACAATTGATAAGTTTTGACTTATGAACCTGTGAAACCATCACCACAATTAACATAATGAACGTACCCATCACCCCAGAATTTTCCTTCTTCCCCTTTGTGACCCACCCCTCCCATTCTTCCCCATCCCCTTATCCGCAAGCAACCACTAGTATACTTTCTGGCTCTATGGATTAGTTGGCATTTTGGGGATTTTTATATAAATGAAAGCTTTGGGGAACAATCTGTAAGCTTAAAGCTGCTATAAAAGAAAAACCTAAATTTAGAAAAAGTTTTTAAACAGTGGAAGGTGATGTTTATAACAGAAATGAAGTTGATATTCGTAGGTTTTCTATAATATTTTTCTCCTTAATAACATCTTTTTATATGAATTTGAATTTTTGAATTATTACTAAATAACATAGCATAAACATAAAATGTTTATTTTTAAATTAATTAAAATTTTAATAATTTTCCATTTTTATGTTCCCAAGCTACCTCTTGAACCCAAAGTTGTTTCACTTGATTTTTGTCTGTATTTTTAATCTTTTTACAGAGCATACAGGATTGGACAGTGTAGAGATGTCAAAGTGCTTAGGCTGATATCCTTGGGAACTGTGGAGGAAATCATGTATTTACGACAGGTATACAAGCAGGTAAATATGTTTCCCTTCTGTTTCAGAGGTCAACATTTATGTTTTTAAAAATTAGGAAAAACCTATGTAATATGAAAGTTTTAAATTTTACTGTATCATGTAGAATTTAATAAGGTCATAAAAAAATACCCTTGAATATACACTTCTATGAAACAGATTAATTCTTGGGTTCATTGAATTTTTGAGCTGAAAGTTTTCTAGAGTAGTGCCTCTTAAACTTTAGTATACATGCAGATTACCTAGGGATCTTGTCAAAATACTGATTCTGATTTAGTAGGTCTGAGGTAGAGCTCATGATGTGGAATATTTAACTAGCTCCCAAGAGTCCTAGTAAAACTAATCAGCAGCCCACAGTTTGAGTAGCAAGGTCACAGCTCCCCAAACTACAGGCCAAGATATAATGGTTTACCACAAATGGGCTACAGGTGCACTGAGATGTTGGTCCCACAGCTTTCTGGACAGCAAGAGTACCTAAGCCTGTGTGTTAGTTCATTCTCACGCTGCCATAAAGAACTGCCCAAGACTGGGTAGTTTATAAAGGAAAGAGGTTTAATTGACTCACACTTCCACATGGTAGGGGAGGCCTCAGGAAACTTACCATCATGGTGGAAGGGGAAGCAGACATGCCCTTCTTCACATGATGGCAGGAAGGAGAAGTTCTGAGCAAAGAGGGAAAAGCCACTTATAAAACTTTCAGATCTCTTGAGAGCTCATTGTAATGGAAGCAGCAGCATGGGTATAACTGCCCCATGATTCACTTACCCACCAGATCCCTCCCTCCCACAGCACCTGGGGATTATGGGAACTGTAATTCAAGATGAAATTAGGGTGGGGACACAGCAAAACCATATCAGCTAGCTTCCAGCCTTGACTAACCTCTTCTTTTTACACCAGGTAGATATTCATATGTTACCATTCTCTATAGGTGCCATCACATGAAGATTAGGGAGCACTGCCTTAGAGGTACATACTGTACATGATGAAACTAGGACCCCAGAGATGTGCCAGTAAATGCAATTATAGGAACAGAACTTAAGTGTGCTAACTACTTTCCTGGTACTTTTAGTATTTGTCTAAAATTGTATTAACTCTTAAATATGCTTAGCATATCAATTACTACTTCATTTATGCCTCTAAACAAACAATATTTATTTAGTTTACAACTGGATACTTGATACAATCTGGAATAAGGTTCAAGTGTAATCGTAAATATTGCATTTGAATTGCTTCCTATATGTTCAGTTGGCATCTATTTAAGAGCAAACATCTGCCACATGTGTTGGTAGTTAACCTAAGAGTGATCCAATGTTAAATTTATGCTATTTTCTTCATTCTAAAAATAGAGTCGTACACAGCAGTTTTTGTTTTTCTTAAAGCTTTTAGCTCTGTAATAAACAGTTCATCCTTTTTTTTTTTTTTTTGGTATAGCACAACTACTTGAAAATTATTTTTTTCTAACCTATTTAAACAACCTTGGGAAAAAGTGGGAAGTTACTCATCTTAGGAGCTGTTCTTTTGAGTACTGTCTTAGACTTCTCTCAAGTAAGAGTCTTTCCTCAATTATGTAGTAATTTTTTTCGGTCCATTACTGTATACATATCTTTTTTACCTATTCATCTGACTCATTTAATGAAATGAAATGTCTTGTTATAAAATATACATTATACAGTAGTATATAATAAAAGAGGCTTCAGAAGATGAGGTAATTTAAGAACTTTATAAGACACAAATAAAGAGAAAATGGCAATCATGTAAGGAAAAGGCACTAAATATGGTTTAAAGATAGTTTGGAATTTAAACCAATGGAGCACACCTTCTAGCCTCCCAGGTTGGCCTTCAATCTTTTGCGGGGGGAAAAAAAAAAAAACCTGTAAAAATGTTAGAAAGCAAGAAGAGTTTTCTTGGCGGCCCCAAAATTGTAAGGAGTCCTAAAAGACAAGGAAGTTGGGATCAGATTGAAGGAAGAAGCCAACCTAAACTTAGTCAGAAGAAAACTACTGAAAAGGTAGGTGCAGCCTCTGGATATTCCAAGCTTAGAGTCAGCAGCTACTAAAAAAGAAGGAAGCCTTGGGGTATCACTGATGGTGTAACAAGACAGTTTAGCCCTTATAATCTTATCCCGTTTGGACCAAATTACAGCCAGCAGAGGTGTCTACTCTCAAGTGAGAACAATAAGTAGAAGTACTGGAAGCAAAGAAGCAAGACAGAGCTCCAAATATTTCTAATATTCAGAAGGAAGTTCCCCCTGTTGCCGAGAAGCCTAATTACTTGCCCCCTCCACTATTTTTCAGATAAGCACTGCAGTAGACGGAGATAAGCATGTGAAGTATTTAAAAGCAGATGAATATCCCAGCCAGAAACAATTACCCAACAGTTTAGGAAAGTAAACACTTTGAAAAGGCAGTGTAGTGGGCTGAATACTGGCCCTCAAAAATACCAATTTCTAATCCCTGGAAACTGTAAATGGCACTTTATATGGAAAAGGAATCTTTGCATGTGTGATTAAATTATGGGTCTTGAGATTCAGGGATTTTCTTGGATGAACCACAAGTGTCCTTATAAGAAAGAGCTGGAGGACAGTTTGACACAGAAGAGGAGAAGGCAATGTAACCACAGAGGCATTGATCGGAGTGGTGTGCCAGAAGCTAAGGAATGCTGGTAGCCACCGCAAGCTGGAAGAGGCAAGAAATAGATTCTTTCCTAGAGCCTCCAGAAGGAGTGTGGTCCTGTCAACACCTTGATTTCAGTTCAGTGATACCGATTGCAGATTTCTGGCTCCCAAAACTGTCAGAGGCTCAAATGATCTTCCCACCTCAGCATCACGAGTAGCTGGCACTATAGGTGTGTGCCACCGCACCGAGCTAATTTTTTATTTTTATTTTTTGTAGAGACAGTTTCACTATGTTGCCCAGACTGGTTGAAACTAAATTGTTAATTCAGAACTCTCCCACAAAGATAGATTCCAGCCCGGATGACTTCAGTGGTAAATTCTATCAAACACTTAATATTGTTTTTGAAAACAGGAAGAGGGAACACTTCCAACTTATTTCACAAAGACGGAAGAATCCTGATACCAAACTTGACAAAGACATTGCAAGAAGAGAAAATGACAGATGAATATCTCTCATGAACATAAATATGAAAATCTTTTACCAAGCATCTGTTTTGAGTCAATTGCGTCCTTTCCCCTCAAAAGATAGGTTGAAGTCCTAAGCCCTGGTACCTGTGAATGTGATCTTATTTGTAAGTAGGGTCTTTACAGATGACGTTAAGATGAGGTCACACTGGATGAGAATGGGCTGTCATCCATTGACTGATACCTTATAAGAAGGGGGAAATTTGTATACAGACAGCCACAGAGGAAGAACACCATGTGACAATGGAGGCAGAGATTGGAGTGATGCCACCACAAGCCAAAGAATGCTATGGATTACCAGCAACTGCCAGAAGCTACCAGAAGCTAGAAAGAGGCAAGGAAGGATCATTCCCTAGAATCTTGAGACAGAGCATGGCCCCGTGGACACCTTGATTTCAGATTTAGCCTCCACAACTATGAGAAAATAAATTTCTATTGTTTTAAGACATCCAATTTGTAGTACTTTGTTACAGCAGAATTGGGAAACTAGTATAGCCTCTAAGGCAAATACCAAGTAAATTTGACTATACTTTTGTATGAAACTTCTGTATGACAAAGGAACTGCAAACCAAATTCAAAGACAGTCTAGGAGCAAATGTTTGCCATACATGTAATAAAAGAGCAGCAGCTGCAAAATACAAAGAACTGCCACTGTATTCGTCTGTTTTCATGCTGCTGATAAAGACATACCAGAGATTGGGTTATAAAGAAGAAGAGGTTTAATGGACTCACAGTTATGCATGGCTAGGGAGACCTCACAATCATGGCAGAAGGCGAAAGGCGCATCTTACATGGAGGCAGGCAAAGAGAATGAGAATCAAACGAAGGAGGTTTCCCCTTATAAAACCATCAGATCTCATGAGACTTACTACCACGAGAACAGTAGGGGGGAAGCTGCCCACATGATTCAGTTATCTCCCACTGGGTCCCTCCCACAACACATGGGAATTATGGGAGCTGCAGTTCAAGATGAGATTTGGGTGGGGACACAGCCAAACTGTGTGACCTACAAACCAATAAAAAGAATAATAGGCATTTCACTGAAGAAAAAAATGCAAGTGGTTAACACATATGTGAAAAGATCTTTCTAACCACACTCATAATCTAGAGATAGAAAATGAGACCATTTGCATTGTATATTCTGCAAAAAAAAAAAAAAAAAATATCGAGGTGTTTTTTGTGGGGTTGGGAAATTGGTGCTGTTCATTGTTGGTTGGGGCATTTGAGAGATGCTCATACACTATTGTTGAGAGTACAGCTGGTGTAGGTATTGTCGAGGCTCCATACCTAACTGACAGAAATCCTCTCACGTATGCACAGTGAAGGGTGATAAGGGTTTTTACTTAGCGTTGCTCTCATTTGTTTAAAAAACAAAGGAAACAACCTAAATGTCCGACAGTAACAGAATAAATTCTGATACCTATATTACTTCGTGACAGCAAAATTTAAAAAAATTGTAGTCAGATCAAATGTACTGATGTGGCAAGATGTCTGAAGACACTTTTAAGTGAGTCAAAAAAGCGATCTATAGAACAATATCTGCAGTGTTTCAATGTGTTTACAAATGAAGCTGTTGCTGTGTGACAGACTGTTTTATGACATGGTTCAACTTAATGTTTTTTCAGTTTTATGATGGTGCTAAAATGATACCTATTTATGTATGAAGTATGTTCCTCTACTTACGATGGGGCCACATCTAGATAAGCCTATCGTGAGTCCAAAACCTACGTTACACCTAATGGTGTTTTCACCTTACAATGGGTTTATCTAGTTATAGTCCCATCATCAATTAAGGAGCATCTGTATGTATAAATAGCTTTAACTTCATTGAAAGATATCTAGGAGGATGCACCTAAACATTACAGCACTGGTTAGACTAATAAGGAGTGACCTGTATTGTTCATGAGGGACTTTTATTTTGATATCTTTTGTTGCATCTGTTGTGATGATGCATTCAGATATTTTATACATTTTAAAAATACAAACATCACTTATACAGCAGCTGTGTTCCTTCAGGTTTGGAGCATTTAAGCAATCTAAAGTTTGGCATTCAGAAAGTCATCTCGTGTGTGTGTGTGTGTGTGTAAATGTTATTTAGAAGTGTTTGCAGAAGAATTGCAAGAATAGCAGAAAGAACCCCCAATTAGCTTCACTCAAGTTCCCTATTTGCTGACATTTTGCACACCTGCTTTCTCTTTGTCTCAGCTATTGTCTTTATTCTTTTTCTGAGCCATTTGAGAGAGAGTTAGACTTCTCATCAGCATGTATTTCCCCAAAGAAGCAACACTCTAAATTTTCCAGTATGTATTTCCCCAAAGAAGTACACTCGTACTTAAATATACATAAAAAACAGTTTTATGCATTCTAAACACTCAGTTGTATATACAATTCTACAACTCACTTTCCTCACTCCCCACATTCCTCTCCAAAATGCAGTTATTCACATCAAGAAATTAACGTTGGTAAAACATCATGCTATAATCCACAGGACCCATTCGATTTCCCCACCTCTCCCAGCAGTGTCTCTTTTTTCCTTCCTGGTCCAGGATTTCATCAAGGATCAGGGCTCCATTTACTGGTGTCTCCAGTTTTTTTCAACCTAGAATATTACCCAAGCTTTGTCTTTCAAGACCTTGACAATTTTAAAGAATAAGGCCTTTGTGTAGGATGTCCTTCAGTCTAGGTCCATTTGATATTTCCTCACGTCCAGACTGAGGCCAAGCAGTATTGGCAGGAATACCACAGGCACGATACTGTGCTCTTCTCGTTGCATCAGTCAGAAGGCACATGAGGGTGACTTGCCCTACTAACCTTGATCACAGATCAAGTTTGTGTCTGCTGAGTTTCTCCACTGCAAAGTTACTATTTTTTTCTTTGTAATTGATGTGTAATTTATGAGGAGATCCTCTGAGACTGCCAGTTTCTCATGAGACCTGCACCTATAACCCTTAGTGTTCATTTGTGGTTCCTGCCTGAATCAGCTACCACTGTAATGGTTGTCAGGTGGTGACTTTTCTTTTTCCATTATCCTTCTTGGTTGTTCTTTGGAACTCTACCATTAAAAAAAGAGCTTTCCCTTCTATTTAATTTGTGTGGTGTCATGGCTTCCCATTTTACTAACAGATTACAACACATTGAATGTCACTATTTAATGTTGACACTGTCTTATATTTGGCCAGTGGGCACCCATTAGGGTGGCTTGTGTGTCATTTCGACTTGCTCCCATCCTTCTTTTTGCACTTCTTTACTGTGGTAGGCTGAATAATAGTCTCCCAAAGATGCTCACATCGTAATCCCCCAAACCACCTGGGTTATCCAGATGGGCTGGTGTAATCACAAGGGTTTTTTTTATAAGGGTCAGATGTGCACATCTTCATCTCTGCTTTCTCTGACCCTACTGCCTAATAACCCATGGTAAGGAAGCAAAGGGTCAGAGAGAAAAATACGAAGATGCCACACTGCTGGCCTTGTAGCTGGAAGAATGGCCGTGAACTTCTTAATATCATAAATGTTCTTTTCGTTTTACTTCTTTCTTTGTCTGTTGTTATGATGAGATCCAAGCATTTTCTCCCTTGTATGGATTTTTCATAAGCTAGAAACTAAGCTACATTTTCTAATTACTAATTTTTCCCCTACCCTCTTGAATTTTAACATGATTTTTTTTTATAGTTAGCCTACAGATAGAAGCACCTGGTTTCCACTTTTACTGGAGCCACTTTAGTGCAAACTAATGTGCTTTTTATAAATTTTGTGATAAAACTTTGCTAGGAAGCTTATAAAGACTCAAATTGAGGCTTACAAATTACCTTGGTGATTATAGTTACAGGTCCTACAGTCTGACATTATCGGTGTTTAATGTAGTTCAGTAACAAGGGGAAAATCGGTAGGTCCCTGGGCTGTCACTTGCATCAATTGTTATTGTAATTTTGTGCTCCCAAGATTACAGCCCATGTTTCTGGAACATTTGGTGTCAAACTGATCAAGTTGGTATGTTGATCCATAACTTCTTTAAGTGAAGGTCCCGAGGGTTTTGTTTTAAGAGAGGCGTCTTGAAAGTGAGAAATTAGTTAATAGTATAAATTTTAGATTCAGCCAAACCAAGGTACAAATTCTAGGAATGACACTTAGCTGGCAGCTGTGAGCAAGTCACTTAATTTCTCTAAACTTAAGTTACTTTATTTTTAAAATAGAGAAATTTTAGTTATTTTATTTCTAAAATTGAGATGACATAAAGTTGTAAGGATTAAGTAAGAGTATGGAAATAAAATGCTACACGTGTAATAAATGTTCAATAAATGGCAGCTGTTATAAACAAAAATTTTAGTTGCCTAGAATCACTTATTACAGTGCAAATGAACTCTGATGATAATCTCAATAGTTAAGCATTTCTCTTTTTTTTTTTTTTTTTTTTTTTTTTTTTTTTTTTGAGACGGAGTCTTTGTCACCCAAACTGGAGTACAATGGCCACCTTGGGTCACTGCGGACTCTACCAGGTTCAAGTGATTCTCCTGCTTCAGCCTCCCGAGTAGCTGGGATTACAGACGCCTACCACCATGCCCAGCTAATTTTTGTATTTTAGTAGAGAAGGGGTTTCACCACGTTGGCCAGGTTGGGCTCTAACTCCTGAAATCAAGTGTTCTGCCTGCCTCCACCTCCACCTTCCAAAGTGCTGGGATTACAGGCTTGAGCCATTGCACCCGGCCCTTAAGCATCTTTTTTTACTAATTTCTCCATCAATGGACTGAAGTTATTTTACATTCTGTACATTCTTTTTTTCTTTCAAGAAATTTTAAAATACTCCTGGGGTTAATCAGATTGTATTTTAATTTTATATATTTATATTACATTTAGTAAAATATCCAGCAATTAGAGAGTGCATATTAATGTTGATACTGAAGTGGTGTTTTTAAATGTTCCATGTCAGTGTTCTTTCTGTATTCAAAATTATGTCAAAGATGCAGTGTTTCTTAAAACAGTGATAGGGTTTTTGCTGTTAGTAGACAATGTAGTCAAGCCACAATTAGTTTGACACCAAGGTGGTTATGATATCATTACTTTAGATTGTAATTTAACTTTAGTGATATAGTAATTACTTCTGCCAGTTTTAGTAGTTCCTGTTATAATAAGAGTTTTAAAAGGAGAAAAGTGAATTCAAATGTATGCTTTTATTATTAAACATTTATGTCAGGTGGATATTCTATAGAGATGTAATCTTGACTCAGTTGTTAGAAAACAGATAAAATAGGAAATACAAGATCTCTGTTTCAGTAATACTGGCCAGATTATTATTATTTCACCATAATGGCAACATCTGCCAGGGAAATTAAAACAAAATTTCCTCCCTCAGGAGATTCTGCCTGCTCCAACTAAAGCTGTGTATATACAGGGAATGCCAGGAAATTCTGACATATTGTTGGAGCAAGCACTTCAAAAATATCTTGTGTTTTTTCTGTTTTAGCAACTTCACTGTGTGGTGGTTGGAAGTGAAAATGCCAAACGATATTTTGAAGCAGTTCAAGGATCTAAAGAGCATCAAGGAGAGCTTTTTGGGATCCATAACCTCTTCAAACTGAGGTCCCAAGGGTCTTGTCTTACAAGGGACATTCTGGAGGTGTGATCATCTTCTCTAACCTTTTCAATAATATCTTAAATACAGTTTTTCTTCCTCAGGAAATTTGAAATACAATTGCTGTTGCCTTTTCAGAGAAACTTTTGGTTTTCTTTATCAAAAATGCCTCGGAATTTTTACTTGTAGAGAATAAGAAATGAATTATTATACCTCTAAACTAAGGTTTTCCCATGCATAATTACACATAATGCACACACATGAACATACATACTGAGCAGTATGAACTCCAGGGCCGTTTTAAGATAGGCAGAGAGAAGCTTATTGTTTTGAAAACAGCTGCTGAAGTCAGGAACTAAAAAAAGAGGTTTTCCTAAATAAACAAAAATATAAAATGTGTTTTGATTAAAAGTTACCAAATACTCCCTGAGATGTACTCTCATGTCTCATGGAGATTTTTTGTTTTCTGTTCCCAATAAAAATTCCACACCAATATTTTAAACTCTCCCTGTTGTGTTCATCCTCAACATACAGATGTTTCTTATTCTTCAAACAAATACTTTATATCCTTTTTTAAAAAACTCTTTTAAGTTCTTTTATATAGCAGAATACTAAAGATATTAACTATTTTCTAATTGATAGTCATATAGGTATCATAAAATCCTGGAATATTATCTTTTTCAACCTCCTCATGGGATAGATGAGGAAACTGAGTCTTAGAGAACTTCAGGATATTTCTCTTGACTTCCATGACTTTGTAGTAAAATCTTAATGTACTTAATTTATTCAGTAAGTACCATAAAGACAGTTCAAGGAGCAATTGGTTCCTGTCCTTGAGGAACTTGAACCATCTTCTCCGGAGGTGGAAGAGAACGTTTACATAATAACCACATAATGTCAGGAATCATATGCTGTAGACCATGGATGGCCGGGGGAGAGGAAAGTATATATGATTTGAATCCTATCAATATTATTACTATTATACAACTTCTGATGTAGACTCTGCTGAGTTTCTCGTTTCTAGTAATTACATTGATTCTGAATTCAGTGACCCATTTGAGTCCTGCTTTTTGGGGTTTTTTCCCCTTGCTTTTTAAATATGCTGTTTCTTTTATGAATTTGTTCTTTCCAGTTTCTCTTTTCATGTCAATAACTTTGTTTGCCCTCCAGCTCCCAAACCCAGCTGCTACCTCCATCTCAGAGTACTACTTGACATGCTTATATTCATGTTAAAGTCATTGTCTATAGTATTAGCATTACATTATTTATCCTGTTTTCTGTCATATATTATGACATAGTTATCTGTTTTTGTCAGAATAACCACCTATTTCTTTGTTAAACAAGTGTTATGTGAGACGTATCAGGATGACAGGTTATTAAGTAGAAAAAGTTCTCTTGTTCATTGTGCCGCTGCACTCCAACCTGGGTAACAGAGCAAGACTCCGACTCAAAAAAAAAGTCTCTTGTTCACTGGTTATTCTAAGAATATCTTGTTTCACCTTCAGAAGTATTTATTGATGACAGGACCATCCATGTCTTACATTTTCTTTTTTAAAAATATCTTTAAGTTCTTTAATATACCAGAATACTAAGGATATTAACCTATTTTCTAATTGATATTAATAAGGGGTGACAAGGCCATCCATGTCCTACGTTTGTCTGGCTAGGCATATCATTGGCACTTGATTATTAAGTTAAATTTTGAATTAAAATTACTCATTTGTCATCATTTAGAATGTAAACTTATTCGGGCGGGTTAGATTCATGCTGCTTGGTCCAAAGGTGCTTCTGAGTGTTATTATTCGCCCCGTGTAACGGGAGCACGTATCATAAAGTAAAAGAATATTTCACTTCATGTGAGACATTTTTAATTTTTAAAGGTTGTATAAAATCTGTTTTAAAATGTTTTAAGAAGTAAAAATTTGGATATTTACACTTACAATCTTATGATTTCTGGGCAATTTCATTCTGTTTTGCATTGACTTTCCATTGTATTATGGTTTCTCTTCAAAGATAGACATTGAGAGTTCATTTTACAAATATTTATTGAGCATCTGCGAAATGTCAGGTACTGTTCATAGAGCTGGTACATACATAAAAGAACAAAATAGACAAAATGATGCTGTCTACCAGAAGTCTACATTCTATATGGGAAGACAAATGATAAACAGAATAAATAAGTAAAATACAGAATGTATTGTGATAGGTAGGTTCTCAGGATAGAAAATAGAACAGGGAAGGGAAATGGGAACTGTCAGGGAAGGAGCATTGCAGTTTTAGATGGAGTAGCCAAGGAAGTCCTCACTCTGAGGGCTGCATTTGAGTATTCAAAGAGGTGAGGGAGGAAGGTGTGTTTTAGACAGGGGAAACAAATGCAGAGGTCCTGAAGGAGGAACATGCCCCATGTGATCTCACAATGTCAGGGAGGCCAGACTGGTTAGAGTGGGGTAAGCGAGAGAGCAAGAGATGGAACCAGAGAGATGACAGAGAGTCAGACCATGCAGGAACTTTGACTTTGACTTGAATGAGACAAAAAGCAGTTAGAGGGTTCTGAACAGAAAGATGACATAGTCTGATTTATATTAGCTTGACTTACTATTGAAAACTAGACTATAGACGTACAAGGACATAAGCAAGAAGCCAGTTAGGAGGATACTACAGTAATCCAGCTGAGAGATGATGTTGGCTTGAGCCAGGGTGATGGTGGCAGATGGCGTGAGAAGTGGCTGGATGGTGTGTGTATTATCCAGCTGGCATTGACAGGATTCACTGATGGGTCAGATACAAGGTATGAGAAAAAGAGAGAAGTTAAGGATGGCTCCAAGGTGTTTGGCCTGAGCAGCTTAAGACTGGAATGGTCATTTATCTATAATAAGGGAGTTTCAGCAGCTTTAAGATTTCTAGTACTGCCGCTTTCACCTGTTGTAGCCATTTAGCTTCTGTTACAGAGATAAATGGTAGCCTGGGAGTGAGGCTTCCCATCCCATTGCTGTAATAGCCTCCAGGCATGGAGAGTAAAGGACTTGCAGCAATTCAGAAACCATTTGTCATTCCCTAGAGTTCCATAGGGGAGAGTCTCACTCATTGCCCTGGATACCAAGTGGCTGGAACCATGCCATTAGTATGTCTGTGTATTCTTAAGTTGGGCATTTGTAACTGTAGTGATGATAGTATTATTTCTTCTTGCTCTATCAACACATACAGCCTTAAAAAGTGAATTGATTTGCTTTTGAGGAGAATTTAGTATTCTAGAATCTAGGCCATTAGAACTTCTGCTAAATGATACACCAGAAGCTTTAAAGTCCAAATACTTTCCCAAAGATATAGCAAGCCTGTTATATAACTAGAATATTGTTTTTCATTTCATAGTAGGATGGACCTTTTTATTTTGATGCCTCCTACACCTAAGGGATATTGTCAAATGAATATGAACAATAAATATAGTAACAATATAGGCTAGAATATCAAGTTCCCAATATTCAACATTGTGGTGTTTGAAATGTTAATATGTCCTTACCATAATTATTATATGGGAATGGTTGTTACGGATATCATACTGGGTAAATATATAACATTTCTTCACTCTCCCTCTCCCCACTAGTACTTTTAATGAAGTTGGCTGGAAAGTGTTAGTTTTCTGTGTCTGTAAAAGAACTTTAAGATAAGAATTAAGAGTATTTTTAAAATGTTTTATAAATGTTTATATATGAGTTTCTTAATTAGCAAGTTGAAAAATAACTTTAAGAATGCTAAAGCAAGCTGCATGCAATGTTTCTTTCTTAACTTCAAGAACAGCATGCCTTGCTATTGCTTATCTGGTTGTGGCTACCCCCTGTGTTGCATGGCTATCTGTATTCTTTCTTACTGACATTATAGAGAGAAGGCCAAGTGGAAGCAGGGATCATGACAGCCACAACATGGTTGAAAGAGGGACCTCCAGCACACAAACTGGAAATGGTATGTAATGTTTGAGCTTGTAGCCTACAACACCTAGAAAACATGCACTGTGACAATTTTGTTTCTTTTCCTTTTTCCTTCATTTTATAACCTGTAAAAAAAAAAAAAAATTAAGAGTCAAGGACATAAAGTTCAGAGGACTATGGGTAAAATTAATAATTAAGGCTGATTTAACATTCATATAACAAATTCAGGAGCAATTCAGCCATTTACAGCTAAACTGAATTTTAACTACCCCAAACTGTAAATACAGTACCACCTAGATAACTAACCCATCCCAAATAAATAATTTTTGACTAAATGGTAAGTTAAATGGAAAAATCACCACCAATGTGTATTTAAAATTATTGAAGCCAAATATTAAAGTTGTTCTCTAACTGAAAGCAGATATTTTATTTGATTCCTTCATTTTGTGATCTTTTTAGTAGTTTGCCATCTCATGTACCACCACATCTTTATTTCATCATAAGGCCATCCTAAAGGTAAAAAACGTGTGGAAGGTTTTTTGTTATTGTTTCTGGTTTTTTCTTGTTTGTTTTTAGAGTCTTAACTGTCAGTTTATACCAGTCCAGTGACTTTAAATTGGGGATGAAATTTTTATAAATTTAAATATATGAATATCAAATATTGGCAAAAGTATTAGCAGACAATACTTTCCCACAATATTTTACTATTAGAGGCTCAGTTTTAGAAAACTAGGGTATATTTAACTCTGACTAATGTGGAAAAGTTACATATTGAATTTAAATTTGTAGCAAATTTTACTTCAAAATTCTTTATTTCTGGTGATCAAGAGCCTATTGGCCTTTTTAATCAATTAGAACAATTTTCCAGTCATGAATTCTTTACCTTGTTAACTCCTGTAATCTGTCTTATTCTTAAAGCATGATTAGAAGTATCTGCTAGATGACAGTAAACTCCAGTAATTCTTAAGCAGTAAGTTGTATGCTTTTCACTTTCGAGGCCAGAATTACGTGTCCTTGCATCTTAGAAGCCAAACACTCCACTTTGTGTTTTTTTCCGAAATACTTTGATGATATGGTATTCGAGTTTAAACTGTTTTATTTTGGAACAATATTCAACATGGAAAGAGAAAAGACTACTGTCCTAGACTATGATATTAAACCCTTTACTAAATGTTTATTAAATGTTGTACTTTTAGAAAATACTAAGTGATACACTTGTACCTAAATTACCTGCCCAAAGTTGATTCCTTTTCAGTTGATTCCATATTATATCTTGAGGTTTTCTGATGTTTTTGTCATTGTTTCTTCTGTAGCCTGGAGAGCCTGACTGTCAGGAATGCAGAGGTCCAGAACAAGCTGCAGAGCCACTGGCAAAGGAAGTGTGTGATCTCTGCAGCGACTTCAGTGATGAAGAGCCAGTGGGAGCCGCAGGAGTAAAGACTGCCAAAAACAGAGCACCCGATTCAAATAAAGCTTCCAGCTCTCCAGGACAGCTTACCTTACTCCAGTGTGGTTTCTCGAAATTGTTTGAAACAAAATGTAAAGCAGTTGAGGACAGTGATGGAAATACTGCCTCTGATGATGAAAGTTCTGATGAGCAGCCCACATGCCTTTCAACAGAAGCCAAAGATGCTGGTTGTGAGAAAAATCAGGACTCTCTTTGTACTTCAAAATATCAGAAATTAGATAACATCCTAAATCCAAAAGAAAAGCATATTTTTTATAAAAGTGAGAAGACTTTAGAACAGACTATTTCTTCTAAGTCTGATGAGAAAAAATTTAAAAATACAGATAAACATTGCATTTTACAGAATGCCACAGAATCAGAAGATAGTGATGTCATCTGTCCTACACAGTATACAACTGAGAGATTCCCCGACAATAGTATAAGGTTTAAGCCACCCTTGGAGGGTTCTGAGGATTCTGAAACAGAACACTCTGTAAAAACAAGAAATAATGATAATGGTCGAAAGACTGATGACAAAAGAAATGGAATAATTTCAGAAAAGTTAAGTCCTGAGAACACAACCCTGAAATCTATTGTGAAAAGAAAAGGCACCAGCGATATCAGTGATGAATCTGATGACATTGAAATTTCTTCCAAGTCAAGAGTAAGGAAGAGTTCATTGAGGTTTAAGAGAATAAAGGAAACCAAAAAAGAACTTCACAATTCTCCCAAAACAGTGAACAAAACAAACCAAGTATATGCAACAAATGAGGATCATAACTCTCAGTTTATTGATGATTATTCATCCTCAGATGAGAGTTTATCCGTCAGCCACTTCAGTTTCTCTAAACAGAGCCATAGAACAAGAACTGTAAAAGACAGAACCAGTTTTTCTTCAAAATTGCCTAGCCATAATAAGAAAAATAGCACTTTCATGCCAAGAAAACCAATGAAATGTTCAAATGAGAAAGCTGTCAATCAAGAGCAGTCATATGAATCAATGGATAAATTTTTAGGTAACTAAAGACACATTCTGAAAACTTTAAAAAGTATATTTGTTTTATCAAGTAGTCTGTGAGATACTTTGAATTAACTTGTAAAATAGCCCTGAAATCAAGATGCTGCATTGAGGCACAAATAAGGAAGGGTTGGGTAGCAGGATAAATGGGAGACCACATGTAGGTCAAGATAATGTTGCCATCTACACCAGGACCCCCTCCATGTGCCCCTCTAAATCATAACTCCTCTGCCCCCATAAATACCAATTATTCTAGCTTCTATAATAATTACTTATTTACATTTATATGGTTTTATCACCAAATGTGCATTCTCTAGGTGAATTAATCTGTTTTCACACTGCTGATAAAGACATACTTGAGACTGAGAAGAAAAGGGGGTTTAATGGATTCATAGTTCCACATGGCTAGGGAGGCCTCACAATCATGGCGGAAGACAAGGAGGAGCAAGTCATGTCTTAACATGGTTGGTGGCAGGAAAAGAGAGAGAGAGCTTGTACAGGGGAACTCCTCTTTATAAAACCATCAGATCTCATGAGACTTACTCACTGTCACGAGAACAGCTTGGGAAAGACCTGTCCCTGTGATTCAGTTCCCTCCCGCCAGGTCCCTCCCATGACACATGGGGATTGTGGGAGCTACAGTTCAAGACGAGATTTGAGTGGAGACACAGCCCAACCATATCACTAGGTATTATGGTCCAGTCTCATACATTTTTTTTTAATGTTAGGCAGTCTTTTTTAATCTACAGGAATCCTCATCCCTTTCATTGCCGTACAATGTAACTATGGAAGTACCTGGACCATCTCTTACAGAGTTTCCGTCAGTTTGTATTTTGCTAATTGCATCCTCTCCATGCAGTTAAACATGTTCTTCTGTTTTCTATATTACCTGCAAAAGAGCAGTTGGTTCCTGAGACTGGATCAGACTCAGGTTCAGTTCCTTTGGCAAGATAAAAGTTAGTGTTTAACAAGACTATGGTAGGCACAAAATGTTTATTCTCTCTTTATGATCCTAGCAGCCATTGATACTTAATACCTATACTTATTTATTCATTCATTCAGAGTAGCAATATGTTTTCTGTTTATCTCCTTTCATTTTCATTTAATTATTTAGAATGCTTTTGTAAAGAGGTACTTCACTACTTCCCCTCATCTACTATTGCTTACGCAGTGGCACAGTTCATATATGAGCGACAGGAAAAATGCTAATTGCTTTCTTTCTTTACCAGTTTATAGTATAGTAAAAACTAAATATGTCTATATGCTATAAGAATGACCCATTCTTTTCTTAGTAATTGATTCAAACATGTTTAGTGGGTCTCAATTCATTGCAATTAATAATATTGTTAAGGCTCCATTGTCCTATCTGTGGATAGAGGGGAATCTCTGAAATGAATATTTTGGTTCCTGAAGCCTTTTGGCATGCTGCTAGTCATTTTGGAAGCCTCTTTGTTGTCTAGTCTTAACAAGATGTTCCAGGATCATCTCATACATTTTCTGTCCCAGACCTACAATCAGTCATTATTCCAAGAAGTCTTGGTTTCTTTTAGAGAGAAAGTGTGTTTCCAGACCTCAGTATGGTGCTAGTAATGATCATTGCTACTGTTGACTTGGTTATTATTTCTGGGCCTTTTCAGTGGCCAGATTGTATATATATCTATTTATATTTGTATACATATAAGACGTGTATGTATACATATATTTGTGATATATTTTTATATATGTATTTATGTACACATATTTGTGATGATAAAATACCTCGAGTTTATATTTATACTTTTTTGTATTGATACTTAATTTGAGCGTATAGACCTCTCATTTAGCCTCTATTATGTTTGAATACCAGTTCTACAACACTGATAATTCTGGTTCTCAAGCATATAGGGAATGATTTACTTTTAATGCCCCATTGTTGCTCATTTGCTTTATCCCGTATTACACAAAGAATAAAATAGCAGTACTACCACAGTTTGATTACTGACAACATTTAGGGTTTGTCTGTTTTTGCCTCTACTCTCCCTTTTCTTCCCTTTTTAAAATGAATATGCTACGTCTCTCTTGTCAAAGATACAGACATTGCATTATATACTACCCTTCTCTTAGACTTCACTTGGTCCACAGGTAACTACACATTTCATGCTCCCCATCAGTCCTTAATGTCAGTGCTGCTCACATCATTCCGGTTGTCTGAATCTGACTGTCTGGTAATTCCTCAAGAAGTGTTCGTGAGAATAATATTCCCTGAGATTCTTGCAATAACAGTTTTGTGCCCTTATACCTGAAAGTCAGTTTTGCTGGATGTAAAATGCTTGGCTCACGTTGTCTTTTCTTGAGCGTCTTAAATATGTAGCTTTGTTTTCTTTTGGCATAAAGTGTGGTATTATGTGTTCTTTTTTTTTCCTTCTCCGTAGGTGCCCAGGGGATTTTTTTTCTTTTCATTATTGTCCAATAATTTTACTAAATTGTGTTTTGATGTTGTTTATCCTGGGTCCATATTCTCATATACATAGTGTTGTTTCCACTTAAATCTTATTTTGGGAAAGACTTGCTTGTACTAGTGTTTTTGGTTACTTGTTCTATTCCTTTGCTTTGGCTTTCTTCTTCAGGGACTCCTATTATTCAGATGTTCAGTCTTCTTTGCCTATCTTCAGTTTTTGTCACATTCTCTCATCTTTTTTATCTGTTCATTTTGTTTTGCTTTTTTAAAATGTTGTTTGTTTCTCTGAAAGCTTATCTGTTGTGTTTATTCCCACTTATGTTCCTTCTAGTTTAGTCTTCATTTTTGAAATTAAAAAAAAAAAAATTTAAGTCTTTCCTAAGTTCTTATCACTCATTGCTGGGTTCCTCTAATTCTGATTTACGTTGTTGATTCATGTCTTTTTCTGTTTTGTGAGCACATCTTTCTAGCACGTTTTCATTAGAGGGATATTATTCGGCTTGTTCTCTTTTTTCTCACAGTAATTTTTACGAGATTTGACCGTGCTGCTTTTCCCTTGGTCATTTTTATATGAAATTACTTACTCTAAATTTTACAAATGAAGCAGAGCTTAGGAAATCTTTTCTCACTTCCCAGAGATCCATACATATGTTATTTCCATGTAGAGTGCTGCACTGTGTTGGGCCTTCCTCTCGCTCTCCCTTGCTTTGCTCTAGATCTTTTCTTTCCCTCATCCTTGTTCTTCCTATCCTACTTATTTTGATTCTCCCCCAGCAGTTTTTCCTCTTTGTTGGGCCCTGACCTGGGTGGGGGCCCTGGTGGGTCAGTTTTGGGAGTTCTAGCAGTTGGCCTGCTTTAGCCCCTCCAGGCCTTCTTACTGTGTCCCCCTGCACCCTCTCAGCTTTGGAGAGCAGGAAACTTTCCCAGATTCAGCTGCTGTTCCCCAGCTGGCCCCTTGTGCTTTCCAATGAATACCTGTTGGCAGTTCTGGGGTCTCCTGTTTTTAGGTCTGTCAGGCGCCCTGTTGCTTCCTCCTCCTTTCACATAGATACTGAAACCATGCAGAGTTCATAGCTAGTGGAGATTTTTCCCACCTGCTTGTACTTTAGGTGTCATGAGGGTATCTTGTTACCTAATTTTGATGTAAATGTCCATGGGCTTTTGGTTTTGCTGTCTGGTTGCTGTCTGTTTCTGTGTGCAGATTCAGAGATTCTCCTGCTTCTCTTGCTACCACCCTCTGCCCAGAATCTGTATGGTGATTTTAAGGCATTGCCTTCACAAATGTCTGACTTATTCCCCCAAAAATTATGTGAAAGAAGCTGAGATACAAGCAAGGATATTTTGCTATAGAAATCTTAATTGTTGTATTTGATTTATGTACAAATCAGGCCTTCCTTGTGGCTATTAGCATTCTCATTTAAGAGTTCATTATTATATATATTTTGGTATCATTGTAAATAAGTACTGAATTATCCTTTGGTTTGTGTGCTACAGTTAGATTTTAGGTTTGAGGAATTATTGCATGAACTGTTTTTTAAATAATCAGCTCAGTTTTTTGTTTGTTTGTTTTTTATTGTGCAAAAGGTGTCAGTAGTTAGTTTGGAACTAATGCTATTTTGAACAATGGATAACGTGTCATCAAAATTAAGAAACATCTGAGTAAATTTTCTGCTGTGAAGGTTTTGAAACTATGTGCCATATATAGTACCTGGTATTTTGAAGTTTAAGGAGAATGTTACGCTAGTTACTGTCTCATCATATTATTTAACAACGTTTTATGTTTGCATGATTGGCAATTTCTGGTTGGAGAGGTTCAGTACTGAAACAGCACAAGTGTTGAAGGTCATACCTGAGGTTCATTGCCAGAGCTGTTGGAGGGAGCATTTATAGGCCTTGGTTCTGGCCTTCTCTTTTATGATCACAATTCAAAAATGAATTATAGGTGCCTAGAAGCAAAGCAATAAAAATCGTAGCTATTTTTTAAACCTCTTTCAGATAAAAGCCATGAGTTAATTTTTTTCATTTCCTAAAAAGCTCTCATCTTGACATTCTCTGGGCATATGTACAAAAAAGACAAAATACAAACAATAAAACTGAGCAAAGCCAATCAAACGAAACTCCCTAGTCATAAACCCCATGCTCCCATTCCGTCAGTGTAATCAAGTACGTGTTTAAAGGAACGGAGAAGGTTGGTTTCATTCTTTAAATTAGTGAACAACTTTTTTTTTTTAATTAACAATAAAATTCATAGAGAGGACCTTCCTCAACCATGACTTTTCTCTTGGCCAAAACCTCCATTTCAAGTTTAAAGATTGTTACCTACTATCAGTAGTTCTCATCTCACATTGATGAGAAGGAAAAGGCATTTCCAAGGTAACCTGTACTAACATATTTGAACTCTCTCTCTTTTCAATATTTTTCCTAAAGGGTATTGTGGTGTTGATGTTTCTCTTGAGTATTAAAAATAAGAATAATGTGTTTTTGTGGAACCATACTGCTGTGTACTGATACATCACTTAAAAAATATCAATTACCTCCTAGATGGCGTTCAGGAAGTGGCTTATATTCACTCAAATCAGAATGTGATTGGATCGAGCAAAGCTGAAAATCACATGAGCCGATGGGCAGCACATGATGTATTTGAGTTGAAGCAGTTTTCCCAGCTGCCTGCTAACATAGCTGTTTGCAGTTCTAAGGTAAGAAAAATATAGGATAGTATCATCTTTAGTTACCTCATTTTTCACAGAAGTCACTCAATAGTATTTTCTCTAAGTACTCCCTCAAAAATAGCTACAAAAACTGTAAGGGACATACAAATAAGTGTAAAAATCAAAACATTTGGGAGCTGTAGTCATTGAAGATGCTTTAGATTAAACAACAAATTTACACCCAAATACCTAGTAATGTTGAGTTGCTTAATAGTTTTCCTCAGTAAAAATTGGCCAGTACCCCCAAAATGAAAAGGAATCTGAGGGAATCATGTAGTTCAATCAGAACCAAAACCATTTCTGCTCATATGGAAAAAGGAAAGTATGTGATTAGATTGCTCCACAATTTTTCACCTAAAATGAAGACACACACAGATAACTCGTTTCATATAGAATTTATATTTTTAGCAAAAGGATTTTTATACTGTTAAAAGTCATAAATACTTCCTATGGGCTCTTCCCACTTCAAATTGCTGTGATATTTTTGTTTATGCATAGTCCTTTCGTCAAAGGTTTTTACAAAATATTTTCTTCTGTTTGGCTTATTATTTTCTAAGAGCTAAGTGCCTCAGGAGTAATTTTACTGTCACTTTATGGGCAGGAGTTCAGAATGTGTACTGTATATAATCCAATATTTTGCTTCAACCTAGTGCTATTTTACTTTTAAGAATGAAGGTGGGGGTAGAATTCCTCTGAACTATCAAGGGAATTAATTTATTTGTACCTCACTGGTTTGACAAAGGAATCAAATTAGCTTAACAATAAAACCAGAGTACAAAATGAAATTCAGGACCAGAGAAAATATAAATTAAACTGGAAGTTTAAGACGGAGAGAAAGTTAGAATACACATGCATAGGACATAACATGTTCTACCCAGATATTGTATTAAAATGGCTAATTTGATTGAGTTTTCTGGTAGAAAAAACAAAGGCGGTAAGCTGTCTATTTAGTGATACCTCAACTAGCGCATGTAGAAATGTGTGTGGGCAGTTTGGGTGGTCACAATGACTGAGTGTGTAACTGGCATTAATATCTGGAAGCCAGGGATTCCAAATGGCTGTCCTGGACAGAGGACTGGGTTGAGGGGGCAATGCAATGGGGAGGCACTCCCACATGCAAAGAATTGTTCTGCCCAAAATGCCACAACACCCTGCTGAGAAAGGCTGAGTGAAATGTTTGTCCTTAAGGGAAGAAAAAAAACAAAAAAGCACTGGTTCTAGGAGAAGCAAAGCTTTTCCTAGCACTCACTTTGAAGGAAATTTGTCACTTGGGGTATTTTGGAGACCACAGAATGATATAGTAAACAGCCAGTTGTCTTATAATATCCCTAGAATAAATCTAATAGCGGACTTTGAAAGGCTATCCTTTCTAGCCTTTTTCGGTGTAGTCCATAGGCCCAGTGCCAAACTACAACCTGTGAAAGCATTTTTTCATGACCCAAGTATGCTGCTTTTTATACTCGTCTTCTCATTTGATCCAGGAATGTACCATCTCTCAACCAACACTTTAAACAGCATTGCTACAGTTTGATTGCCTTGTATGTGCCGTCTGAAAAAGGCAGGCAGAATTATGTTGGGTTTTCCAGAAACTTGCTTTGTTAGGATAAAGAGTATGTCAGATCTTTTAAACAGATAGCTAATTTTTTATTAGGATTTTTTTTAACTGTGCCCTTTTTTAAAACCTTGTCCTTCTACATACAAACAAATTTTAATGTGAAATGTCAGATAATTTGGCAAACCGCTGTAGTGGATGTTAATGAAATAACTGGATACTGGTCATTAACTTATCTAAATATTTATTAGAGAAGAAATTTACAAGCATATAATTTCTCCAACAGTTGACCTAAGAAGCAACCTGCTTCTTAAGCAAAGTTATAAAAATAAAATGCTGGAAACACAGTTTGCCTGTGAGCTCTTACAGTCCAAATATTTTTGAGGTGGACAACACAATCTCGTTAGAAACCTTGTCTCTTTACAGTGATTTTCAGAGGGAGGGGCATCTCTTGCTAGGAAACAAATTGGAATACCTACTCCCTGGGTGTTATAATACACCCTTCGAGGCTGTCTATCTCCCTCATCACACATACACCAACTTAGTAAACCTTTTCAGAGAAGATAAAGAAATTAGTTTAATGACTACATTGTGGTGAAGTTTTAAAGCCACTAAATGGGAGGTCCATTCCCATGCGCCCTTGCTAGCAGCCCAAGCACAGTCTGCAGAAACACTCATTTCAGTGGCTGACTTCAGTCAGTAATTGATACAGCAAAATTTCATTCTAACATTTCAAAGCTATCTCACAGAATTTCTGAGAAGAAAAGTTCCCAATCACTGATTTCATCATATCACGTCATTATTACTTCAACACCTTTAATGAGGAAATCATTGAAACACACTCATCATCTTTGGCTAGAGAGACTTACGTTACTCAGAGGTTTTGCAGCTGGTGTGGCAGTGGGTGGCAATAGTGAATTTACAGTTTTGAAAAAAAAAGTTACGAGAAGAAAAGAGAATAAACAAAGGGAAAGGGAAATGAAGCAAGAACAAAAGAGACTCAATCATAGTGTTAGAAAATACCTGCAAACTTCTTGATCCTGAAGTCTCCAAAAAGCTCAGACCTCCCAGCGATAGTACAGTATCTTTCATCTGGGGCTCAGTCTAGAATCTTTTCGGTGACTGGTAATTCCTCTGAGTGCTTCATGTCTGTCATCAAAGTTTTATTAAAGAACTTTACTTGTGTTTAAAAAGATTGTGTGTGCATGCATGTGTGTCTGTAGCCAGTTGCAGACATGTTGTCTCAGTAAGAAAATAAATCCTATTTGTTTTATGAAATCAGTACACAAGTAACAGTTGCCACAGTATACCAGTATTCCAACTTCAAAAGAGTACCATAGAGTCTGAATCAGAACCTTTAACTAGATTGCAAGGGAATATACTAAAATGAAAACTTCTAAAAGAGAAGTAATAAACACCGTAATCCTAGATAAGATCCTATGGTCTTTCAGAGTTTTTCATGTATAGTAATTATTTGAGGTACAGTAATTATTAATAACCAAAATGACAAAAACTGTGAATCTACTCTTCAAATTCAACCATGTATCTTAAAAAGGAGTAAAATGTACTCTAGAGTTCATCTGTTATTTTACTATATGGAAGTATGTCACGGAGCTGAACTGTACCTGTTTGTGATGTGATGCCTCCTTTTCTCAGTCAACTGCACGTTTTCAACTTAAGTTTGCATAAAATTTTCTGAAAAGAAATGTACAAAGACAGCCTTCAATTAAGGATTAATCACTATGGCAACTGAGATGTGGTGACTGAAGGGGGAGGATGTATTCTCCCCTCAGTTTCCTGCCAGCTGTCATAGTCAACCTCTGCTGCCTGAATCCAAGCCAAAATATCGACTGTGACCAACTCTAAGAAACTATATCTGTATTTTTATAAATTGGTACAAGTATCAGACTATAAAAGAAGACTTAATCCCTTGAATTGGATGACAGACACTTGGCACTCTTGTGAGTGTTTGACAGAGAAATAACGGGTCGCTTTGTAGTAAAACCTGGATTAATAGTAAGCCCCTCTTTATGTTATTGCAGTGTGGTGTAAATGAGAGAACTAAGCGTGCTGTCAGCCCGGGGCGGGAGGTAGCGTGGGGAAGTGTCTTTTATATAACCAGTGCAGGTTTAAGCACTGTTCAGAATACTGTAAATACAAAATATTGTGTTAGTAAGAACTTCTCTTTCTTGTATTTGTATTAGATTGGCATTCTGTAGATTACTTAAAGAAAGGATTTCTGTGAGCTACGGTGGGTTTGATTGCAGTATGTTTATACAGCTTTTGGAGTCAGCTAGGAGGGATGGACTGTTTACAGTGAGCAGGCTTTGGGGAGATAGAGCATTCCATTATCCTGTTTTTCAGGATAATGAATGGCATGATGATTTAAAGTAATTGTTCACAAATGGCTGGTTTACAAAGTAGTCCAGCAAGCAAGGTTTACGGTTTCAGCATGTAACTCTTACTGGGTGGGATAGTTCATGGTCTTAATTGTTTTTCTTTTTATAACTAGAAATTAATTTTATGGCATTTGTATCAGAAAGTTACCCTTTCAAGTAATTTTAGTAGAAATCAAGATTTTAAAATGTGTGTGTGTGTGTGTGTGTGTGTGAAATTATGTAACTGGTATTGATATGAAAAAGGCTTTTGTGTTTCTACACCTAGAAGTAGGATTGGTTGTAGATAGCTTTCTGATTTGGAAGATAATATGTCATTTGAATAGAAAATACCTGCTACTTAGAGGAAGGAGAATCCAGTTTTTAAACTATAAACATAGAGACCTATTCCCCTGCTAGCTGGAGGCTACAAGAAGCTGTAGCATCTTTCCGCACAATGATGATACCAGGATTCATGGACTAATGTAACTGATGAGCTGATGTGTGCAAAACACGTTCAACACCTTGCAAGAAAGGCATTGAAATTACTCAAAAAATATATTTTTTTATTATTGTAATTATGATTATTGCTTACCAATGGGGTGATGTGTAAATAAGTCTCTACAATAACCTGCTATTTGCTTCTCTGGTTCCTTGTTTAAAATTCCTTGTCACCTGTGTCTGCTGATTGAACTCCTACCCCTTGTATCATCTGTGACAGCTCTCCCCCAACTCTTCTCCAAAGCAATATAAATTTTTCCTCATTCTTCTCTTTACTTGTGTGTGTTGATCTGCTATAGCAGTTATCTCATTGTATTATGCAATACTAGATGAATATGTACAAGATGCTTTTGAGTGCAGGAAATAGAATAACCATCAAACATGGGGCTATATAGTAAGTCACTAAACTAATTCAAATAACAGCAGGTCTGGAAGGAGGTGTTTTCAGGTGTGACAGCCCATGACACCATAGGGATTCAGGCTCTTTCATTTTCTGCCCTGCTATCTTTAGTAAATTAACTTTTAGTCCTTAGGTCTTTTGCCTCATGTTGCCAGATGAC